TGAGGCAATTAAAAACCATCTTAACAGCTGAACAATTGATACAAGTTTATTTTGCTAATGTGGATTCGAGATTAAGATATGGAGTATGGTTCTGGGGTCGGTCAACGCGCTCTGAAGATGTATTTGTGTCTCAAAAAAGATGCATCCGATCATCAGCAGGCATCTCACCAACAGAAAGTTGCAAAAAATATTTTATAAGTTTCAAAATTTTAACTGTCCCTTCGTTGTATATATATATGAATTGTGCTTACATGTTTTTAAAAATAATGAAAAATTCAAGCGGAATTGTGATATGCATAATTATGATACAAGGACTTGTAATAATTTATATGTAAACTTCAGCAATTCAAAAGCGGCATTTCGATCACCTAATAAAATTGGTCCGCTTCTTTTTAATAATTTACCATGCCACCTTACCTCGGTTAAAAATATTAACGACTTCAAGTTCCAGTTGAAGCAATTTTTGATATACAAGTGCTTTTATCGTGTTGATGAATTTTTGAACATTGCAATTTGAGATTAGTTGTAGGTTTGTAGCGAACGAAAAATTGACAATTCCAATACAATTATATATTGTCTGTATGGAAATAAAGGTTATTGATTGATTGATATTGAACATTTTGCATTCGAGAGGAAGCTTTCTGGATAAAATAAATGAACGCTGAAAATATTAATTATTAGCTCCGACAGCGTGTAATTAGTGTGAGTATACGTTGGTTTGCATTACGGTGAAGAAGATTGGTTTTGAGAAAAAAATGTAATATTCAAAGTAATGCAATAGTTTCAAATTTTGGCAATGGACATTTTTTATTCAACATTTAAATGCAACAATAAATTAATATGTGTAATCAGAATCATAATAAATAATACGTGCACCATCTCACAGCCTGTGATATCATCACCAAATAACTATTTATTCAAGCTGATTACACTTGAGGTAAAACAAAGCACCAAGCAGATCTAAGTCAAGACGATCGCGCTGAGAAAATGAATGTGGAAATGCGATATGTACATGATGCAAATGCCCATTCATACGCCCTTAATCGTCTCTTGCTAGGAGAAATCGATTAGAAATCATATACAAATTCCAAAATACAAGAAAAAATTGTTACGGTTTTTCATATTTCAAAAATGGTTTGAGTACAGGATGACGACAAATATCTGTATAATCTCACGCACTATTAAAAAATTCTATCGAAATCGGAAATATCATTTTAATACCAGAAAGCCATAAAGCGTTAGGCTGAAAAAAAAATGCAGCTGAGCTAGACTATATCAAAGCCTAAACGCCAAAAAATGCTCAGCATTGAAGCGATGTGAGCAATCGTCTAAAATTCTGAAGATAGATTTTCATTTTTGTAAAAATTTAAAACATCATTCTAATTATTACAAGTAATTAAGGGCCTTTTTGTGTGGTAGAACATTGATCCTCTTAAAAAGAGACCATGAATAGTCTTTATCTTTTGAGGCTGCCTATGGGACATTATCCTTTAGTCTGTTGGCATCATTAGCGTTACATGCCAATTAATCGACAGTCCCTTATTATGATTTGAAAAATCGATCAGCCACAAAAAAGGCATAGGCGTACACCAACAATCAAATTTTTTAGTTAGAAAAAGAGGTAATAATACATAAAAAGACAATTACACTATCTAAATCTATCGTCCTGTGTTTACTAGACTTTTTAAAGTACGGGAACTTGACAAGGAACTAACAGGTAGCTGTTTTATTGACAAGCTTCACGACCGGTACATCTGATCCTCCTGCAAAGCAACGATGTCGCATGGTTTGGGACTTTAGACTAATTGTATGGGCCTGTTTGACTTGCCGCCACTTATTTTTTTTTTCTTATAGATGTTCGTAGCCAACAATTGTGGCGAACATAACCGTTTATGAAGTGATGATAGCGTAGCATGAGAAGTGCCGAGTCAGCCTTCTTGACGCCATTTTTTGCTTTTAAAAGCCTTGTTTAGTTATTGCAAGGATTATTCCAGATACACCCTGATTTTGCGTGATAGGTTGACTGATTTCAGCTCCATATTTCGGTTGAGTTCTGGTAGTTTTTCTTGCCTCCAAATGAAAGCTTACAAGTATAATTAAAGTATTTCCAGACTTTTTGGCCATTCTGGGGTCCTTTAGTAAAGTTTGTTCTTTGAGAGATACACAACAGCAATCAAGAAAAATGGTTTGTTGGTACAGTAGTCGGCAAGTTGTCGGTGAGTGTAGTCTAAGATCCGGCCATATATATATATATATATATTTCATATACATAGTAGATTCATATGGCTACGACCACCAACAACAACCGACTTCTGTACAAACAAACCATATATGCAGATTCAATACAGCACCTCAAAGAGAGTGGGAGAGACGCTATCGTACAAACATGCTTACATTGCCTAACAACTATAAAACATCACTCTGATGCTATTGCAACTACAAAGCTACAAAACGGTACTGCTATCTGCATTGTTTATCGATGGCAGAGAGAGGTTTTGACGTGTTTACACTCTCAATTGTCTCGTTCCTTTGGTCTTCGTGAGTTGAATGGTAATTTTTCTCGTTCCGAGGGGAGCGTGAAAACGTACAGAAAAACTTATACAGCAAATTAAGCTCGATACTTTTCGCTTGATAATATTTCCACAAATACGCAATTAGGTAAACTACCACCGTTTCGTTATAAGCAAAGTACATGGGCTGTTTGTGTCTGCTAGCGGAATATACTTTCTTTTTTGCAGAAGTGTTCGAGGCAATTACGTTCCCTTGTTGTTTTGTTGAATAATTGTTTCGAGATGCAGTCGCGGTCTACACCGCTCTAAATGAGGATTTAAGCTTGGTTAGAGCAAAGACATTTGTTTTATTCCTTTGTGGTTCGGTTCTTTTTGTCTATGTCAAACAAGAGAACAAGAAAAAAGTAAAGGTTTTATCAGCAATTCAGCTTTCTTATAAATAATAAAGGTGCACGAGTTGAAGTAAACGAATCCACGTGAATCCTAATTGATTTGCATTTTCTCATCATTTACTATGTGAACCACTCACTATTCTGAATCAGTCAGTTTCAAAGAAAAATTTGATCCGTGATCCCCAACTCTGCAAGTAAATATTAAGATGCTTTTGCATGGGGAACTTTTGAGTTTATCCTGTAGTTGTCTTGCTGACCCATCACCATATTATGATGGCCAATAAATCAATAAATGTTGGCAGCTTTTTTCAGTACAAACAGAAAATATAAAACAGCAACTGGTAACACTGGTTAACACTGAGAGGCTTTCAGAGTATGTTTATTTGTTCTCAGTTAAATTGGATCCGTTACTGCTAAAATGCGTTCTGATTTGTCAGTTTCGATCCTCGGAGAAAATTTTGATCCCGGGATAGTACTGGTACAGACCTATTATGAATAAAATCTTTTATAATGAAAGCTAATTTTAGGAATTGTTATAATCTCCTGAATAACAACCGATGTACCTCTTTTATAAATTTATCAGGTTGTTTGGTTCTACTAATCACAACATAGATATATTTCTTGTTTCTGAATGGTCGGATTTGTTTTGTAAATGCAAATTTTTACCTAGGGTCAAATGATATTTGTAGCTAAACCAGCCTTTCTTACTCACATTGTACATACAGTGCTTTTCTATAATGTCCCCCCCCCTTTGGTTTTTTGAACGAATGAATTTAAAAAATTAAAACATGAGGTAATGAAATTGAACAAATATTTTGGATATAGTTAGGATGCCGCGCAATGGATTCCGTCATAGTCTCGCAGAATCCTGTTCTTCGATCAGGGTCATCGTTAGTTAGCTGATGTGCCATTTGAATTTTGTACGGGCGATACTTATTCTTTTTTAAAGTCTCCATACAGTAGAAGGACAAACCTCACATACATTCACGATGGAGGAAGCAGACTGTTGGGAATTTTCTATGATCTCACCAATTATTTGAACTTGCTACTCTTCCGGGAAGGTCGGATCACCTGGGGGCTTTTTTTACACTACCAGTAGCTTTAAATAGATTTAGAATTAAGTTCCCTTAAATATTTTCTACAGATACGACGATTCAAGAAACGATCATTAATAAATCATTTCGGTCTCAAGTCTCTTTTCTTCCAATGGATGAGAATTGGCCATTTTAAAAATAGTTCAAACAGTATCTATCATTAAAGCCTAAAACTAAATAAGAATATCATAACTGTACAATGATGTTTGTTTTCGTCCTGATATTCTTGTCACTGTCAACAAAAAATAACAAGACAAGTTTCTATCGCTGTTGCTGTGGATACGGCAGGGAATTGCAACTATTTGTAAAGATATGCATGTTAGTGTTATGTTCAAGTAACTGGCACCCAAGCAATGCAACAGAGTGAGAAAACATGTTGTGTTTCCCGATTTAATAAGGAACAGCGATCTTTTAGCAGTCTTGGGGCCCTTTCGCACCAACGGTCGGTCGGCGACCTGGCTCTCTTCTACCACTACGCCAATGGGCTTTGCTCCTCAGATCTCTCCTCAACGATGACACCGCGATGTGTGCATCCAGAACTGGCGGATCCGACCGTTCCTTTGTCCCAAGGGTATCGAGATTGTGGAACAATCTACATGGGGGGGCTTTTCCCAGTTCTACTGAACTTGGGCGGTTCAAAAATAGGATTAACCAGGTTCTTTTAAGCTCCTTTTAGCAGCCAAGCAGCCGGGCATTTAGGCTTTGCCTGCGCGGCTACTTCGACGTAAAAAACGAGCGGACTAGGCTAATTAGACATACAGCATTACAATAATCTGCAATGCTTGATGTAGGGTATGTTTGACACTTTGGCCGTATTGCACGGCGTGAAAGTTTACAACTGTACAAAACTGATTGATCGTTTTTAATAATAATGAGTAAAGTGAAACAATTCTCTGAAGAAGATATAAAGAAAATTATCATTGTACGAGAATAAACATTTAACGACGGCGATTTTATCAGGATTAAATTGATTAACCTAGCTGTTATATAATCACTGAACTTACTTTGGTTTAGTTGTTTCCTATAATGATCTGCATATTCTCTCCACCTTCGTATTCTTATTATTCCAAGCATGGCATTTTAGCTTTTTAAAGTAGAGGAGCTTTTATTTGGAACTATTCCTTTCAACTTTTTTAGTACTTGTACTAATGACATCTCTTCTTCGTATTTTTTTTTTATTCACTATTACTTATTACTAGCTAACCCGACAGACATTGTCCTGTCCTGGCTATGTACTGGAATGAATAGTGAATAATAAAAGGGTAAATATATGGAATGTAGATAATTGTATAGCGAAGTGTTTGTACCGCCATTTTGCTAGCCAAATACGTTAGCAGCACTGCCATTCCCCCATCAACTTACCTTGAAAGTAGGCATAAAATTATGTCGAATGAATTTTGTTGCGCCAAATGACGTCATTGGTCCAATAGCAATGATTTGTTGTGGACTGTAATCGATTGCCACGTCAATGCATCTCGAATGGGATTAAATGCGACACTTCTCGGTTATTGAATTTCAGTATTTCGATCCGTTTAACTTTATTTCTCGCTTCTCTTTGCTCATGAGTCTGACTTTTTCATATATATATATATATATATATATATATATATATATATATTTGACTTAATTATTTTTGAGCAAACGCTTCTCAAAAAAACTCACTGAACAAACTGAAAACTGGATCAAAGTACTAATCGAATGGACTATGCACCATTAATTAAATAAAACAATATTTTTTCATTGACAAACACTGTTAAGCGATAAGATAAATTTGCCGCGTGCGAGCTGACAAGTTCAAAATTTCAATTCAGTAAAAGAAACGTATTTTCATCCGCCATTTTTATTCATAGAGTTAACTCACAACGATAACAATTAGGCAACACTGCAGTTTCTTTTGAAGGGCCATCACAAAGTACGGATGGTAAAGAAATGTAAGTCCAAATACGAAAACAGCCTGTTTCATAAGCAATTTTGTCTCCCACAGCTGTTGTAATAAAGATGGCGGAGTGGAGTGCCTCTCTCTTTTGGTTCTTGAGATACTTGTTCTGCTGTGCGTGCTCCATGCTCAAGCAAACTGTCAAACGCACGTAGCTTAAATAATCATTAGGTTTTCGATGATTTGCTAATTTTCTGCGCAATTTTCTTGTCTTTCCGTATAAACCTTCTATACAGTGAAAGGAAACTTTTGAAAAAAAGATGAATGGAATCGGTAAAGTCATTCTCAAGTTATGGCGTGACCACGCGAAATACGGATTCATTTTTACATTTATAGGTTATAGAAAACCGTCGGCTGATTGATTGTTACTAAAAATAATGTTCTAGCTACATAAATACGCTTATTCTGCTAAACGTACACTTCCACATGAATTGCAGATGATTGCATTGCTGATTGCCTATATCTAGCCCGGTCTGCTATGCTATAAAATCGCTGCTCACTCGACATCGGGAATGCACTTTTCATTAGTATCTTACATTACAAGTAACATTTAGCAAAAAAAAAGCAAACCGACTTTATCATCAAAACTCTAAATTGATACGCTTAGCGAAGAAAAAAGTTTCTGACATGGGTGATGAATTATTGCAGCTTACTGTAAAATGCAAATGTTAAATCTTCCCTTCAACGTTCTTCTACGATGCCTTCAAAATGCAAGAATAGTCCATTCCGCAAACGGCAGTTAATCCTAAAGGATCGTTTAAAAATGTAATTCTAAGACATTTCCATGGATTTTTGTGCAAGAAACCGAATAGAATCCATATTTGCAGTCATGTACGTCCATGTCATGATTCTTCTTCACTCAGCTCCGCCTGATCGCTTCTCAAAGCGTACTTGCTGCTATTGCCCCTATTCGAGATTAACGCGCCGCAAAAAGTGATTGGACAAAAATGGCGATCGCCTTTTGCCCTTAATCCCTAATGATGCATGTCCAGAACGCGGACGGGACATCGATACTCCTAATGAACCTTCGGATAAGGCTATAAATCAGCTACGGTCGGGGATACTGCCGCGTGTTTTGCTTCGATATTTCACGTAACAAGCAAGGGTCTTGGATAATCGGAGAATCCCAACAGTGCAAGTTTGGTAGTATACTGATCAAGACTCGGGTCCTTCTACATGATCTACTATTAATTACATAATATAGCTAGCCATGGCCATACCACCACCATACGAAAAAGACAGTCCATTATTATGTGTCTGTTATGCTACGGACATAAGGGCCTTGCTAAATTACAATTGTTTGAAGTTTAAAGACATTATCCCCTACTGAGCGAGGGCCGTGGCAAATGCTTGTTCCGGAAGTTGTTGTATCCAGTATACAACTTCTTCCCGTCCAAGTGATTGTGCACGCGTTAAGGAATACCTCAGTACCGATTGCCGGGTGGCGGTACAAGTCCGCCAACGGGCCACTTTAGGTCTATTTAACATCACTAACACGTAAAAAGAAGGTGGTAGACAAGGACCAGTCGACCGAGGCAGTACCACCCGCTAGCTTTTCCCAGGGTGTCTGATAAATGTCCGCATGTTTCCACACCTATGCAGTCGGTTATCTACCAAAACAAAGAAATTTATGATGATGGATCCCTTGAGCACTAAGAACTCCGGACGTAAACTCACTCCACTCTCGCAATGTCCGGGTGGAGGGTGGGCTCGAGGGAACAACACCGAAGATAAAATTTGTTTTTCGAACATCTGCGGGATCAACAGCAACATTGATGCTGTTCATCACTACCTGCAATCCAATCGTCCCGACGTGCTTTTCTTGGCGGAGACAAAAATCTCAGAGTCTCCACCGATTAACCATCTTAACTTCCTAAACAGAGAGGTGCACTCCAATTTGAGAAAGAACGGGGGAGTTGTGGCTTTTGTCCGCAGCAGTCTTTCCTGCTCCAGGGATCTTTCTTTGGAATCAGACCGGAAGGACATTCTGTGGCTTCGCCTCAACTCCAAAACATCACCCAAATTTGTTTGCTGCCTTTATCGCTCTCCCTCGAACCATAACTGGGATGACCTACTCGAATACCTCGCCGTCCAGATCGACTTCCTGAACGTCAATCACCCCGCTTCAGAGGTAGCTCTTCTCGGTGATTTCAATGCCCATAATGAGCTTTGGTTGGGCTCAAATAAGACCGATGCAGCAGGTCGTGCAGTCGAAGCGTTCGCTCTTACTCAAGGGCTGACCCAGCTGGTGACGAGCCGTACTTTTTTCCCCCGCGTCTCGTCACACGCCAGCAGCCTGATGGATCTCTTTCTGACCACGCATCCTGTCCCTTACAGCACTGCTGTCCTGTCCCCCTTGGGTAACTCAGATCACGTTATTGTGGAGGTTAGGTTTCGTTCAGAAGCCGCTGTGGCAGCAGAAACTCGCACAGGCCGCAAAACTTGGCATTACGGACACGCTGACTGGGAGGGGTTCAGAGACTTCTTCTCTAGCTTTCCTTGGAGAGATGTCTGTTCCACTGACGCGGATGCGTCGACTGTCTGTTCTTCAATAACCGAAATTATCCACGTCGGAATGGAGGAATACATCCCTCATACAGTGAAAGTTCCTAAACCAGGGTCCAACGGCTGGTTCAACAAATTGTGTGACACTGCTCGCCAGCAGAAGATCAAGGCACACAGAACCTACTTAAAAAACCCCACTGTAGAGAACAGACAAGCCGACGTCGAGTCCAGAAATAAATATAACGATGCGGTTCGCAATGCCAAAAACCAGCATGATATAAAAGTTAGGCACAGGGTAATGTCGCAGCCCAATGGCAGTCGGTCTTTCTGGACGCTGGCCAAGCAGGTTGAAAAGAACTTCTCACACAGTAGCCTTCCACCACTTACGTGTCAGGATAGAACTATTGTATTCGACTCAAAGGCCAAGGCGGAAGTGCTAGCCAAAATCACTGCTGCCAATTCCACCATGGACGTCCCCACCAACGCCCAAGTGCCGTCAAATCAAAGGGTTCCCCACACTATGCGGGAGGTAACATTCAGGCATAAGACCGTAAGGCGAGTGCTCTTGTCGCTCGACATCAACAAAGCTTCTGGTCCGGACTTGATTCCTGCCATTGTACTGAAGAGATGTGCAGCGGAGCTTGCTCCAGTTCTTTCGTGTCTCTTCCAGATATCTTATGAATCCGGCTCCTTCCCAGAAAACTGGAAATTTGCTCATGTACAGCCCATCTAAGGATCTAAGACCGACCCTTACAACTACAGGCCTATAGCTCTGCTTTCTGTTATAGGTAAAGTGATGGAGAGGTGCATAAATCGCAAGCTTCTGGACTACCTCGAACGTCACAGCTTGATTAGCGACAGGCAGTACGGTTTCCGGCACCAACGATCCACACGGGACCTCCTAGCTTAAGTCTCGCAACTGTGGAGTAAACTTATCCAGTCTCATGGCGAGGCTCATGTCGTTGCTCTTGACATCACGAAAGCGTTCGATCAGCTGTGGCACGCTGCCCTCTTAAGCAAACTTCCATCCTATGGCCTCCCAGAAAAGCTTTGCAGATGGGTGGCTGACTTTATCTCTGGCCGCAAGATATCCGTCGTAATTGACGGATTCTCCTCTTCATCCCACAACGTCAACGCGGGTGTTCCCCAGGGATCGGTCTTGGCTCCAACACTGTTTCTCTTACATATCAACGACCTCCTTTCCTGCATGATCAACCCAATCCACAGCTTCGCTGATGACAGCACTCTACATGCAGGAATTCAGAGTGACAAGCCGATCTCTGCCGCTGAGCTGGAAAAAAGAAGACTAGCGACGACTTCTTCTCTGACAAGAGACCTGGAGGCTATCACTGCTTGGGGGCGCTACAATCTAGTACAGTTTAATGGTTCCAAAACACAGTACTGTACTTTGACGAACAAAAAGCGTCCTAGCGTTCATACAGTTTCGATGGACGGCCGAGTTCTACCAAAGGGCTATTCATTTCGGCTGGTCGGAGTCCAGATCACCGAGGACCTGATCTGACACGAACACATCTCTTCAATAGCTGCAGCTGCTGGGAAAAAGCTAGGCTATTTGTTTAGAGCTAAGAAGTACTTTTCTCCGCATGACCTTCTCACTCTATACAAGGCTCAGATAAGGCCTAGCCTCGAGTATTGCTCACACATTTGGGGTGCTGCCGCCCCGACTACATTGTCCATGCTCGATGCTGTCCAGAGGAGGGCGGTCCGACTGATCGACGACTCTTCTCTAACAGACAGTCTCGGGACTCTTTCGCACCGGCGGGCCGTCGGCGATCCAGCTCTTTTCTATCGCTACACCAACGGGCTTTGCTCCTCAGAGCTCTCTTCCATGATACCGCCGCGCGATGTGCCTGCCAGTCAGACCCGCCTGACTTCGGCGTCCCATCCTAACCGTGTCAAACTTCGTACATCCAGAACTGGCCGATACGACCGCTCCTTTGTCCCGAGGGTGTCTAGATTGTGGAACAATCTACGGGAGGAAGCTTTTCCCAGTTCTACTAACCTTAGGCAGTTTAAAAATCGTATTAACAAAATTTCTTTGGGATCATCATAGCAGCCGCGGTGTTCCGGCATTTAGGCTT